CGTAGCCCTTAGGATATGTGGACTATTTTCTCAGATCATCCTAGCAGGCTTAGTCGTACAACCAGCTGATCGAGCTCATTCGTTATGATTTCAGTTTTTTCTTTTGATGTTACAATCTTGCTTCCATGTGGTGTCATGTGGTTAAAACCACTTCATCGAATTCTTCATGAAGAAATTTCATGTTTATGAAAATGCTTAAAAATGAAATGTAGATGCAAAATGCAAAAATACATGAAATGCTCGAGGCATTGATCCAAAAACATTTATGTTATTGTAAATAACCTTTATTGGGACAAAAGTGTTTTATCTTTTAAGAGACAATAAACATATTTAAAGGTACATCCGGACTAAATCCTCTAGACCCGGAACAGGTTGACTAGTCATTTGCCTTCGTCTTTCACCGGTTGAATAACTAGTTGAACCACTCCGGCCTCTCTGGATTAACCGTGAAAATGTTGAGTTATTTTTTGTACTGGTTCCCAAAAAGTATCGAATAATTGCATCTCTGGCTTTCATCATTTGCTGAATCGAAAATTCCATTGAAATCCTCCATCAAAGGGATTATCCGAAGTTCATTTGCTTGTTTCTTGAATTTGTCGACAGTGACTTGCCATTTTGTTCTTGTTGTCTTTGAATGGACTCTCGAGGTCAGTAACCTTTTTCTCGTCTTGCCCCTGCCACCTTTGTCAACCCATTTTTGAAAAGATAACTTTTGATGTACTTGATTGTGGGCACCATGTCTTCTTGATCGAATGTGACACATAGTTGTCTTGCAGATTGTCCTCATTTTCTTTCTGAGTCTTTTCTGACCATAGCCGGACCCCTGCGTTTTTCATCTCTTGTATTACAACCCCTTTGTCCATTAATGCAAATTATTTATGGTTAACGAACACGTTTTTTTTTGTGTGGATCAGCACCTCTTTTGAATGATGCAGATGATGGAAATAAAATAAAAGAGAGAAAAATTGAAAAGAGTTAGTAAGGTAAATATAATAATAATGAAAATAAAAAGTCCTACCCCATATGATATCTACCACACATGCTTTAATTCCTACCCAGACATGATCTCTATCCTGCATGCTAATTCCACACAAATCCTAACCGCATATTTGTCTAGTTTGCATGCTTTGAACAGAAAGTAAAGCATGAAACAAAGCAGCCTAGGGTTTGGAATGAAGTTTTGGGGTGAGCTCTAATTCTCCATAGCCTCCCGATTTAGGTTCTAAAAAAAGGGACCCGAGTTCTCCTTGCCGATGCCCCCTTGGGCTTACCAGACCCTTAATCCTAAGCCCATTACAAGCTTATGTGGACTAAGTTAAACTCGAGAGGAAACATTCCCTTATGCCCACACGGTGAATAAATTCACACGAAGACATAAGGTATATGAATCCCGAAGGCTACTTGCTAGGCCCATACGGTGAATAAATTCACACGAATGCATCGCTTTCACCCCCACTTAAAAGGGTTCGAAGCTCAGGTATAGAGCTAGAGATGAAAACTTTTTCAAAAATATGAAACATTGAAAAAATGTCAGTACAACTATTTACTTGAAAAAAATAATCAAAGATAAATAATTGGAATCGAATAAATAAATAAATTAAAATTTAAACTTGTAATTTTCGCTAAAAAAGACAACCGAAAATTAATTTCGGCCTGACTCACTTACCTTTCCCCAGTGGAATCGCTAAGCTGTCGTAACCATTTTTTGGTTGGGCCCTAAATTGGGCTTCGACTTGAAATAATTGGGTTGGGAGTCGCCACCGACCACTTTAAAACGAATTTAGGTGGGTCGGACACCATCTTACCTGATTTGCATTTTTACCAGAAATGTGTCGGGTTCGGGAGTCGGTTACGGTCAAGGAAGGATTAGCACCCTTGAACCGCCCTTTCGGTACCAATTAATTTGCCGATTGTCTTAAATTAAGAAAATTGTAATTTAAAATTAAAAGGTAAAAATACGATCACAATTACTTACCTTAGATAGTTTTAAAGGTGTGGCCTTAAGAAGGTTAAAAACCCATGTTAGATAAAAATGTAAGAAATAAATAAATAAATTAAATTAAAATGAAGAAAAAAACAAATTAAATAAAAGATAAGATAAAGAAAACAAAGATAAAATAGTAAGTAAAATAAATAAAAAAAATAAAAAAAGAAGAAAAAAATATAAATAAAATAAATAAATAAATAAAACAATAAACAAGTAAAATAATATATATATATAATAAATAAATAAAAATAGCAAATATATATATATATATATATATATATAAATTAATAAAACTGATAATAAAATAATATATATATATATAATCCAAAAAAAATAAAAATATATACTAAAATAAAAAAAGAAAATGCATAAAATGTAAAAAAATATTACATGAAAAAAAATAGCAAAACAATTAAATAAAATGAGTAACAAGAGAAATGTGCGTATAAATAAAGTTAAATAAATAAAATAATAATAATTAAAACATAAATGTAAGAGACCGAATCAAAAGTAAAAAAGATGCTACCTTTTATTTCTTTTTCGAATCGTTTACAATAGTTTTGTCTTTGTATTTTCCGTGCTTTCCTTTGTATTTTGTATGTAAATCGTGTGTTACAAATGAGGAGGATTACATGTATTTATAGTGAAAAAAAACTAACTATTTTTAGAATCCTATTAACAATAGAATCTTAATGCAACTAGACTCCTTGCTCGGTTGTTGCACGTTTATTAGTGTGGTTGTTGCTTTAAAAGATATGGTGGTGGAAGAGTCCTCTTAGGAGATGAACTCTTGCTAGTTCTATCTTTTAAGAAAATGGGTGTCTACAGGCGCAAAGCTAGTTATTTTCAAATATATCCTCTGGTTATAACAATAACTTATTAATTTCCTTTTTAGTTATATAAACACTAAGTTTTCATATTGTATCTTTATTTTTTATTTTTTTTTGTACATCAACTTACAATTATTATATTACTAAACGTAAAGGTTTTATAATATATATATATTATTACTACATGAGAGTGTAATTATTAAAGTTTACACTAGATAACCATCCCATCGTGGTTTATGTCATACATTAGATAACTTCAATTTTCAAATTAGTTAATCTCCTCAATGAGGATTGATTTATACTATGGCATTGATATATTTATATTACTGCCTAACTATTAATGATGCATTCTTAATCTATTTCAAGACTCAAGTCTAGTAGTTTATATGTTGTCAAATTTCATGTTTATGTTGCTTTAAAGTACATCAAATGGCCCATTAGCTCGGTTAGAGCATAGTACTAATCACGCCATGTTTGAGCCCTACTTGGGCCAAATTCTGATTTCTGTCCTTGCAAGTTTCATGCTGCAATTAGTGCTGGGTATACGGGTCACCCGTCCGTTTAGCCCGCAGGTTTTGACGGTAAGGGCTTAAACGGAACGTTTTATAAAGCCCGCAATCATAAACGATTTTGAATTCTAAGGCCAGCGGCCCGTCCATTTAACATGCGGGCTAAACAAGCTTACCCGCGGCCCGTTAAATAACAACAATTTTAAATGTTTTAAATGCAATAAAAAATAATGTTCTAACTTGCTACACCTTTAAAAATGATCCAGAACCTTGAAAAGGAAGGTAGTACCGTCAAAATAATAAATAATATTTAAATTTTATTTTAAATAGTCGGAAATGATTATAAAATAATATATTTTTGAATTTTTTAATCATTAATATATATATATATATATATATATATATAACAATATAATTACTTAAACTCAAATTTTAAAAAAAAATATTCACTTATACCACATAATTGAAAAACAAATAAAACAATAATCACATTATACATTTATAAAACACGATTATTCAAGGCTATAATATGAATATACATAAGTGTCTGTAAGCAGAAATTCAAACATAAAAATTCAACAAAGTCAAACATTATACAAATCTAACAAGAAAGTTGTCAAGTGGTCCTAATAATTGTATTTTTGTATACTTTAGAGAAAGACTAAAACATAATATGAAATATAAAATAAAATCTTACAGTATAAGAGTAAATTTGAAAGATACAATTATATTAAAATTGAAAATATAAGTCATTAATTATTAAATATATTTATTTATATATATAATAGAACATTCGGAAACGATATAAAATGTATGAATCATGGGAGTTTGATTAATTAAGAATTGATTGATGCAGCAGATCCAAGATTCTGAAACAACTGAGCAGTTCGTCCAATTTGACATTCTCCTGCTAAGTTTCAATTTTGCTACCTTTTTGTTTGGTTCTTGAATTTTCTTTACATAAAATGTATTAATATATTTTTAATTCCAAAAAATATTATGTGACATACTAGAAATACGACATCGAATATCGCATTGAATATAATATGTTAAACTCAAATTTTCTTTTGTAAAAGCCTTTAAAAGTTGATAAGTATGTTTTCAATTTTTTCTTTTACTTTTCTTTCTTATTTTTAATCCAAATATTACGTGTCATGTGATATATTATTAGAATATAACATACTTTTTATAATTAAAGAACGAAATGAATAACATATTTCATGAAAAAAATAAAGGGCAAAATTAAAAAAAAAAACTTTAAATACCAAAGTGATAATGATGTAAATTTTATAAGACTAAAATACTATATAAATTTTTAAATTTTTATTTTTAAAATGAAGAATAATTTGATACATTGTAAATGAAAAAAAATACAAGTAGCGATAGAATTATGATAAACGCCTTAATAAATTTAAGAACTACAATGATTATAAGTAATATCATATTTATAGATAATTTATTTTCTTTTTCTATAAAATTCTTTAAGTTTATTTTCTATAAAATTTTATAAATTTTAAATTAAGCGGCCTATTGTGAGTTACCCGCGATTATACCGATTAAACCCGCGGGTTTTACGGTTCGGGCTAAAAAGCCCGCACAGGCAGCGGGTTAAACGGGTAGCCCGCGGGCCTTAGCCCATATACCCAGCTCTAGCTGCAATTTCCTATAGTATCAAAACAGTCTTAACTATAATTTAAAAGCAAATAAAACCTGCAGAAATAGCTTCAACCTCCGGAAAGTGTTGAAATTCTTAACTGAAATAACCAACAGTAAACGAATCCCTCATGTGTACAATGAAACAAACTTCAAAGCCAATCAACTAGAAGAAAAGAGAAAAAGAAATGAAAAGTTACAGTTGATGCTTCATTGTCCTTTGGAGGGGCCTTCTTTGCAGCCTCAGCTGCTTCCTTCTCTGCTTCAATCTTTGCTGCAATTGCATCAATTTCAGCTTCATCAAGCTGCCGCAGACCATCCTTAGTCATCACAGCAACTTCAATGTTTTTCCCCCCACTCTCAACAACCTACATGAAAGAGACACAAACCCAATCAATCATTATTATTCATCATATAACATGCATCTTTACCGCATTAGTCGCACATAATGAACTGCATGTAAATCTGATGCTTGACATCGTAGTGGCAAAAGACAGTCTTTGACCTATCCAGACAACTAAACCTCAAACACTGTTCTTAAATCTAGCAAAAAGTAAATACTTTCACCATGCATGTCTTTATTGAGGTCATGCCTCAAAGTAGCAACGCAATGGAAGAAACAATTACACATAATATTCCACATACTATACACAAAACATTTACCCTAGCTTTCTGCGGTGTTCAAAATAAATAACTATGAAATAAGAACTTTCTCTTGTAACATGAATATGAACAATGTTCATGTTGTGAGTTTTTTGCTCCAATATACTCGACGGTAACCGGATCTTCAACAGTCAACCTGTGGCTTTGACATTCAATCCGAGCCCTATTTATAAGGACACGGGCATCTGCTTTGAGTCCAGCACATGCCAATGCAATGTGATCATCCAAATTCACAATCTTCCTAACCGATCTACACAACAGAAGCTGTAAAAGTGTAAAAGAGACCCAATTTTAGGAAATTAAAAAACCCTAGGGTTTTCCTTGCATGTTTTTATCATATAATTCCTAAAGTTTCTAGTTTCTATATCAACAAGACAAACCCTTCATCAAAACTAGTTTTCCTTAATTGGAGTAAAGAATAATTTTTTTCCAGAAAATCCCAATCTAACATACAAGGCTTAAGATAAAAAAATTGCATCTTTTAATTCCAAATCCAAACAAGAAACCCTAAGCCTAAATTTTCTTTTTCAACAAAAAGTTGTGAGAATCGATTTTCGATATACAGAAAGGAAAAGGGAAGTAAAGGGCTAGCATAGAGATAATAGAAACCTGGAGTCCTGGAGTTTGGCGGCGGATTTTTTCTCGACGCCTAGGACAACGATGTCAGTGCCGCGTACACCAACGGCGGCGTTACCCTTACGGACGGCTTCGAGGGCATATTCCACTTGGAACAAATGGCCGTCCGGCGAGAACACCGTGATCGCTCTGTCGTATCTCGCCATTTTCTTCTATTCCTTGGATTTGCTTTTGCTATAACCTATTACAGAGTTGCTGAAGCTTTGCTTTCTCGGTTAGAGCTTCAATTTAAGGAAAGCCTAAAAGAAGGAAAAGCTTTAATCAAAATATTTCTTTAATTATAAAAATTAATGTTTTTATATATTTAAATTAGAGTCAATTTATTAATTAAATTAAAAGCGGACTAACGTCTCACTTTTAACATTTTTCTATTTTTTCTTGTAAAATATTAGTGAAAATAATAAAAATGATTTTTATATTTATAATTTTCCCATCATGCCGGAAACATAAATATAAAATACAAAAAAACTATTTTTATGTTAGAAAAATAAATTATTATTAATTTTATAAATAACGAATGAGTCAATCCTTTATTTGATCACAGAAGTTTACAGGAAATTGGTTAAAGTCGCAGGTATAAAGACGTATTAAAAACTTTTCTTTATCCCCAAGAAATGGAATGCATGTCATCCATCTTTACTTATCAACTCTGAAGCCAGCCAAGACTTTTTCATTGCCAATCCAAATCATATGGTGGAGAATCACAAATCTCTGTCTGCAATCTGTTCGTTTTACATTCGTCTTCGTCAGCACGCAGTTGATGGCTTTGACCGCCTGCACTCCATCTCCGACAGCGACTACTGCAGCTCACATTTTCTCGAGCATGATGGTTGCTACTCTTTGGAGAATTGGTGTATCTTCTGCTAGCAGTACCCGTAGCCTCGGAGCGATTTCTGTTCATTTGTAGCCTTACTTATTATGTACGCATTATATCTGTCTTTTGCATTGCTTCCGACTGAAGGTTGTGTTCCCAGGAACTGGAATTTTGTATTTGAAATCTTTGGTGTATGTAACTTGGGCCTTCCATTTCATTGATCTTCTTCTTTGTGCGTGAACTCGACTAGGCCGTCCCTAAGTGTCGGTGGACCTGATTAGTACGGTCCTTCTCTCGGTTGCTCTCCGATATGCACAGAACTCAGAGAATTAATACCATTGTTTCAGAATATCGGAATCATTCGAGCTGCAAGTCCGAAATTTGGACATTCATGAGAATTTTCGATGCACGTATTGTTCCATTTGGACTTCTGTTTTGAAGTTCAACGGAATTTTCCTTAATCACAGCTTCCAAAATAGGTGATTTTTTCCGAAAATCACCATTGATTTGTATATTTACCGATCTAACACCGTCAGATTATATTTCCCAATCTATCACCCACATAAAGTGCGCCTCCTGAACGCGCTATATGATGATTTTGGCGCCACGTGGAGTATAGCGCGTCCCCTGTACCGCGCTATACGTGACTGGGTTACACGTGGGTATAGCGCTCCCTCCTCCGCGCTATACGCCACTAGGGATATAGAGCGGATCAGGGGCGCTATACGCCATACCAAAATTATATTTAATGCGTCCCTGGTTCGCGCTATATAATAATTACATATACGCGGTGCAGGTACAACGCCTTATATGTTTATAAAGTTCTCACATCTCCTCGCATCTCTCCTCTCTTATAAATTAATACAACAATTCCGTCAACGAGTAATAATTATGGCAATCTTCATAATTGATTTAGAAGTTCGTGCGATTTTTCGTTATAAGGTTTTGTTATAATTTTTTAATTACTTATTGTTTATTATCATTATTTGAAAAATATTATACTAATTATTTTCAATTAATTTTTATGTTTGTAAAATTGAAAAGTGGAAGCATACGTCGAAATAATTTTGCGATGCAGGTAATAATATAAAATTATATTATTTAAATTATTTACGTTGATGTGTAAAAAATTTTTGTGTTATATTTCGTTCATATATATTTATTTAATCATGTTTGTTTCAGTTATTTTTTTGCAGATATAATTGCCGCACTTTTAATTCAAAGAATGACGCGACTTTCAGCTATTGTTTATTATGATGGTGAAATTCGAGAAGATGAAACCGGCGTTGTTTTCGTATCAAATGAGAGTGTTAAAATATCATTCAAGAGAAACATAACTCTTGAGGAGCTGATAACGAGATTTCGAGGAAGATTCATGTTGGAAGTATAAGAATGTCATCGTTGCAGTACAGATTTCCAACATCATTGTTGTCATTAACTTATACAGCATTCGAACTTTCAAACAATGATGTTCAAATGATGGTTGAAGCTCAAAGTAATTATTCAGACGCCGCTATTGAGATGTATGCACATTTTGTTCAAGTGCGTGCTGCTCGGGGTCAATCTTTAAGCTCACATGGGCTGGCTGAACAAGTTGATCAAGTTGACAGCCGACTACAGTAATGTGTAATGATTTTAATGCCATAATGGGAGATTCATCTGCAACTCCTTACGATATGTACCAAGGTGGGTCCATGACAATCCGTATGGCAACACCGCGTCCAGTTCAAGGGGAAGACATTCATCTGCAAATTTCTTTGACCTTAATATGGAGATGTCATCGACGCAACAATCTGTACAGTTCCATTTGACACGATGGCTTCAAGCTCCAGGGGAGGCATTCGACTGCGAGCTTTTTCGATCTGAATGTTGATATGCCTTCCAGTTCAAGGGGAAGTGCAAGTAGTAGGTTCTTCGACCTAAATGTGGAGAGCATAGAGGAACCATCATCTCCACCAAAAGAACTGCTTCGTGAGCCTGGTGCGGATGGTGCTGAGACTGGACTATTCATTCACCTAGAATCACCGCAATTCAACTCCGATGATGATGTTCCAGGAAATGTGGCACAACTGACCCTCCTGCACATGTATGAAGCTGATTATGGTGCAATGTACGGGACAAAATTACGGATATGCCTCATCTCGGTGACTATGAATATTACTCATCAATAAATAATGGTGAGTTATCTTTAGGCATGGAGTTTTCAAGCAAAGAAGAAGCGATGATGGCTATAAAAAATTACAATATTCGTAATTTGTTCAGTCCAGAGTCAACCGATCGACACGAAAAATATGTATGCTACTGTGCCCGACGCGAAAACAGATGCAATTGGATGGTTCGCGTATCGAAAATGAAGAGGAAAAAACATATATGGGAACTACAGTATACAACGGTCCTCACACATGTTTGCTGGAAGGGTCAACCAAGATCATCCCAACTTGGACTGTGAAGTGATATGCCAAGCCATCATGCCCATGGTAAAAACAATCTCTTATATAGCTGTTGCAGTGTTGATTCAGCTATACAATCGCAGTATGGGTACTGTCTCCTATAAAAAAGCTTGGTTGGCAAAACAAAATGCCATTGTCAAACTACATGGCGAATGAGATGCATCTTACAACGAACTTCCAGGTTGGTTTAGGCTGGTGCGGACGTTGAATCCTGGGACAATTGTGGACCTCGAACCTCCTATGCATACCATAATGATCGAGTTCTTCGCGATCGATGCCAATTCTACCGAGTTTTTTGGAGTTACCCATAGTGCGTTAATGCTGCCAAATACTGCAAGCCTGTGGTCCAGATCGACGAGACTTTCTTGTATGGAAAATACAAGCAAGTTTTATTATTGGCATTTGTCCAAGATGGCAATCACAACATTCTTCCAGTTGCTTTTGCTCTTGTCGAAGGAGAAGATACAGATTCTTGGGCTTTTTTCCTCCGAAATTTACGTGCACATGTTATCACGAGGGAAAAAATCTGTCATTTCATATCACGGAGCTAGGATCAAAGCAGCAATGGAGTCTTTGGGTCCAATGTGGCAACCACCCTTTGTCCAACATAGGTATTGTCTCCGACACATTGCTGCGAACTATCTTGGAAGGTACAAGAAGAATGATGAGCGTCAATTAATTGTGCGCATGGGTAAGTGAAAGCAAGTTAGTAAGTTATACATTTTTTGATCATTTTGATTTTGCAAAGAAAGCAAGTTTGTAAGTTATACATTTTTTGATCAAGTTACAACTACTTCCTCGAACGTTTGAATCAATGCTTCAAGATTTGTGGGTAAGAACGAGAAGGATCGATTACATCAGCCTCATCGATAAAGAAATGTGGACGAACGCATATGATGGTGAATATCGATATGGACACATGACGACCAACTTGGCTGAGACAATCAATTCAACCTTAAAGGGTGCACGTCACTTACCTGTAGCGGCTTTGGTAAAAACTACATATTTTCGTTTGAGGGTGCTTTTTGCGAAGCTCGGGGGACAAGCTCAAACCTGGATGTAAGGCGGTCATGTCTATCACCCTAGATTAGTTGCATATCTACAGAAAAAAATTACTGCATCAAATGGAATGTCTGTAACAAGCTTCTCTAGAAGGCATGAAATGTTTCGTGTCACAGAGTTGTCGCGACCTCTTCAAGGGATTGAAGCTGTGTCGTTAAGAGTAATCTAAGGGACAAAACGTGCGACTGAGGGTTTTTTTCAAGCTCTGAAGTATCCATGCTCTCATGTGATAGCAGCTTGCTCACATACATGTCAAGACTATAACCATTTTGTGGATCGTATACCTACTATCTGAAGTTTTTAAGGTATACGAATTTGAGTTTCCCCCCATAATGACAAAGCCCCTGATGAGGTTCAAGATTGGCTTTCCGATTTTACCAAATCTTTTATTGAGGGAGCGTGGTCGTCCAAAATCCAATCGAATTTATTGCGATATGGATATTCGAGAAAGATCTAGACAAGACAGAGATGTGGCCATTGTAGAACCCAAGACACACTAGAAAAACATGTCCATTTCTGTTGTCATCAAGTAACAATTGATGAGGAAATGATGTATTTGTTTATCAAATAAATTCTTGTATTTTAATTTGTATTTACTTCAAGTTAATGTCATTCGATAATCGCTGATGAAGATTAAAAAATCGAACACAATCATTAAATTTTATCAAACTAATAACAATTTGGTATTTAAATACAACAAACTTACAATAAGAATTAAATGAAATGATAACCAAATTACAATAATGATATTAAATGGTAATAAACAAATTTAAATATATAAAAAAAGTCCAACAAATTTAACAAATAAAGTAAGTATTAAATGAGAAATAATAAAAAATTACAATTAAACAAAATAAAGTAAATACAAATAAAAAAAAAAATCTATCGATACCTGCGTC